GGTCTGGTCTGGATAACGGAGGGAAGGTGGAGGGTGGGAGGAAGGGTTTGGAAAGAGGAAAATTGAAATGGAGGCATTAGTGAGGGGACCAGGTTTGAATCTTGGCTCAGACTTTCAGTGACTTTAGTATTCTAGTAAAATTACCAACCTTCCCTAGTGTCTTATTTTAAAAAAGGGGCTTCGTACTGTTTCGTACTAGGGTTCTTGCAAAGGTTAAATAAATAAAAGAACACATTAAGCATCTAGCCCTGTGCTTGAGGTGGATGAGTTCCTCCTTGAGTTCTTCTTCTCCAAGTAGGGAATTTCCAGCTGAAGGTTAATGAGTAAAAATTGTCTGTATATATGTAATCAGGTACCTCTGCTTTGTTAAAAGGGACTGTTTTATAGATTGAGTCAGGAAAAATTATTGATTATATGAAAATATTTTTTGGTTATTATAAAGATTTTGGAAATAGATTTGTTGCATATCATTTGTTGATTCTGAGCTAGAGTGGGAGTTTTACCTGCCTTTGCATTATCTTTGAGGGAAAGGAAGGGATTCTGGTTGGTTCTCCTGGTGCTGCAGTGCTTTCGAGGTCTCGTACTGGTAGTTAACACTCAGCAGAGCGCGGGCACATCTCAATGTTTGGGTTTTGAGTGTCAGGCACTGAAGTGAATTCCGATTGGGAACCAAGGTTTGACCAGCTGAAGTAGAAATTGTATAACAACACGTTTTCATCCCCGTTCCTAATTATAAGGTTAGATTCTCAATAAAAATGAGAAAGCTATGTACTTTAAAAAAAAATGAGTGTGATGATGCTGATGGCACGAGGAGGAGTGTCAGCCGGCCTTGGCTCCCTTCAGTCATGCTGGGGCTTTCATGCTGGAGACTGATGTGGTCTCCCTACCCACATCCATTTTTACTCAGAGATTATACTAAGTCAGCGGAGGAAGGGCAGGAAATTCAGCAAAGCAGGAGGAAGAAAGTAAGATGATGGGTAATCCCACTTCTCAGAGAAAACCATTACTAATGGGTTCGTGTATTTAGAATCAGGTAATTTTTCTCTTCATGTAGTCCTATGTTTAATTTTTTTTTTTTAAAGATTTATTTATCTGTTTGAAGGAGAGAGACAGAGCACAAGCAATGGGAAAGGAAGAAGCAGACTCCTTGCTGAGCTGGGAGCCTGCTGTGGGACTCAAACCCAGGACCCAGAGATCATGACATGACATGAGTTGAAGAACCGTCTGAGCCATCCAGGCGCCCCTGTATTCTTATGTTTAAAACAGAGATGGTGGGGGCACTTGGGTGGCTCAGTGGGTTAAGCCTCTGCCTTTGGCTCAGGTCATGATCTTGGGGTCCTGGGATCGAGTTCCACGTCTAGCTCCCTGCTCTCCCTCTGCCCCTCCTCCTGCTCATGGTCTTTCTTAAATAAAATCTTTAAAAAAACCCAAAAAGAAAAAAATGGTGTCATCTTAAACCATACTTTCTTTAAGTGGCTTTATTCAGTTGTCAGTAGTATTATGACTGTCTTTTATACCAATAAAAATATTCCTCCAGCTCTTCGTTGCCTTTGTTTTCTTCCAATTATAGAAATAATGTGTGTTCATTGGAAAAATTCTTATGGGCTATAGAAATATGTAACAAAATAAAAGATTCCACATAAACCAACTAATTGTTTACACAAAAGTACTTTTTAATGTCTGTTTAGTATTCTGCTATGTGCATGCGTTATCATCCTGAGCTAATCCATTGTGTTTTCCACTTGGCAATTAATGGGAAACAGTCTGTATTAAAAGACACCGTTGTTTGTTTGTTTTTTTTTTAAGTTTTTTGTTTTTATTATTATTTTTTGTTTTTGTTTTTAAAGGTTTTATTTATTTATTTGTCAGAGAGAGAGCGAGAGCACACAAGCAGAGGGAATGGCAGGCAGAGGCAGAGGGAGAAGCAGGCTCCCCGCCGAGCAAAGAGCCCCATGTGGGACTCGATCCCAGAACCCTGGGATCATGACCTGAGCCAAAGGCAGCGGCTTAACTGACCGAGCCACCCAGGTGTCCCCATACACTGTTGTTCTTGTACATATATCTTAGAATAGTTGCCAATTATGTCAGAGAATAAATTCCTATAAGTGTATATGCTAGCTAAAGTGTGTGTACATTTTAAAACTTTTTTTTTTTTGTTACGGACTACTAAATTCCATCCAAAAAATGATAACCAGTTTATTCTCTGATCAGCATTGTGTGGGGGGATGTTTGCTTTCTAATCTTTTTTTTTTTTTCCCTCTTAAAATCTTTTTTTACCAGTTTGATAGGTAAAAATTATTTCATTTGAAGTTAGTTTTTGACTATTATATTTCTAGTTTAATTAACTAGTTTAATTAAACTAATTAAATTTAATTAATTTTAACTAATTAAAAGTAAGTATAATTTTTTTTCATGAGGTTTTGGCCATGTGTGTTCCTTTGTGAATTATTTCTGTACATTTAAAAAATTGAGGTATTCCTCTTTTTCTGTGAAATAAATGTTTAAGTATGACTTAATTAATGTTTTCATCCATTTTGAAACAAAATGAACCATACATAAATAAGGAATTCACACAAATGGACCAGCAGAGGTCTGTGTTGACCTGGGGGCCAGGAAATTTGGGCACAGCTGGTATTGTCATCCTCAGGTCTGTGGGCAGACTTGGTGTCTCTCCCCAGCTGCCTTCTTTGACTGTGTGGGGTTTTCCAGCACCATCTCTGTTCGACCTGTTGATTTATGGATCTGTGTCAGTATGTCAGTGGGGAGTGGGTAGGACTGTGCCATCCACTGTGATAAATCAAAACAATACTTCTGATCCCCAAGCTAATCAAAAGTTAACAGAGACAGACTGCAAAGTACAGTTACTTCCTTTCCCTTCTCCTGTCATTGGCAAACATGAAGGATGTCTTGTAAAGATTTTAAAGTAAAGCCCCCTTGCATTGTAAAAAAAAAAAAAAAAAAAAAAAAATCTTGCATTGGGATGCTGTTTCTCTCTCTTTGTAACATGCCATTTGGGGACTTCCCTTTCTCTGAAGGGAGGGGAGTGTGTGTGCACGCACGTGTGTGTGTGTGTGTGTGTGTGTGTGTGAGCAGTTCGAAAAGGGATCTAATGTGGCACGGATAACTTTTCTTTAGCGTGGTGCAGGTAGATGTTCAGTAGAGAGCCAATTTCTGAATAAACTCAGGCGACAAATAAAGGATAGTGAAAATACTCTCCTTGGCATGGCACCTGTCACCTAGCTGGTGGTCCTTACCTGAGGGCAGTGACACATTCATATTAACAACATTCTTTTATCCTTTCCGTACTTAACTCATTGAGAGCCCTACGCAATGCCAGGCTCTGGTCAGATCTCGGGAGTGCTCCAGTGAACGAAAAGGCAGACGTGTCTTTTCTTCACGGAGTTAATGCTCTGGTGTGAAGATGCAGTCAATAAAAGAAGGAAGGAAGGAGATGATCTCATACTGTAAAAAAGTGTAAATGCTATGAAGAAAAATAAATCGGGGATATGGCTGGGGGTTGATGGGAAGAGAAGGATTTGTGGTTTTAACTGGGATGGTCAAGGGAGGTGCTGTTAAGTATGGTCCAGGTCAGACAGATTTGGTTTAAGTAAGTGGGTCATTTCAGGAAAGTCCAGTTGAACTCGTGATCCTCATTTTCCCCATATTAAAAAAAAATAATAATAATGAACCTGCTACATAGGGTTAAATGAGATGATAACAGAAAACGCCTGACATCTGACTCCCACCAGGAAAGCAGAATGGTTCGTACCCAGTGAGAGGGGTGCGGCCCCCCGATAGACACAGGCTAGGCTGCACAGGCATGCTCGAAAGGGCTGGGAGTGAAGAGTGAGTGCTTTGTTCCAGAGGGAAAGCTGCGGTCAAGAAGTGTGTGTCATGTGGGCAGGAGAGAAAAGAAGAAATGAGTGGGAGGGGGGTGTTGTGGCTTTGTAGGTAGAGGGAAGAAATGGGAGCACTGAGAGTCTTTCCTCCTCAAGAGAAATTAAGAGACGTAGTTCTTTTGCTTTATTTTTGACAGGTCTGTCAGCAGTTGGTCTTGTGGTTCTATTTCAGTGCGTCATTCAGTGTTTTATAGTCTAGTTTGGGGGAAGTAAAGTACACACCCACACATACACATACACACGCAAAGTATATACGTGTATATTAAAGTATACATATATATGAGATTTTACATACTTATGTTTACTTATATATGTGCGTATATATGTATGTGTGTATACAAAGATAAAAGTTAGAAATAGTTTCTAGTTAGATTTTCTGTAAAATGAGGGAATGAGAAGTGCCGGAAGCATGGCAAGGGTGGGCAGGGGACACTGAGATCGGATGAGTGGGTTTGATCTGAGTCCTGAAAGAGGGATCGCGTTACTGCTCTTCTCTTTGGAAGGACCCCGATACTTCCCGGAGTATGTTCCCAGCGCCAGAGTCCTAACAGATGATTAGGTAGAGAAGGTTTGGGGGGTCAGCTGAGGTTGCAAAAGCATCATGTGCCGTCATCCATGTGGAGGTTCACACTGCACGTTCACTCACTGGAGCAAAGGGACCCGCTGAACCGTGTCGTCCGGCAGGACGGGACCCCCACATTCGACCTGCAGAACCACCCAGAACACTCAGGGGACTTGGGTGCTGCTGGAAGCTCACTCTCTTTACACGTTACATTTAGGAAATAGAGGTCTCACTTGTCTTCGTGCGCACATAGTATTTGCAGAGCCCCGAGAGTTCATTACACATATTTGCTGTCGCTGTTGACGTTTAGGAGAAAAAAATGACTCCAGCCCAGACAGAGAAGTGACTGAATGAGGATTACCAGTTTTGGATCTCCGTTTTCATCTTTTCGTTTTCTTTTCTCCATTGCTTGTTTTGTTTCTGTGAAATGTTTTGTAGAATATTGTGTATCTTAAAGAATTGTTTTGAAAGTTGAAGATGGAAACATTTAAAAGACCCTCCTGTTTTAACAGCGGTGTTTCCTCCCTTCCTCCCCCAAGGTATATTATCCAAATCTGGGATGGATGTGCATTGACGCCACGGACCCAGAGAAGGGGAACTGGCTGCGGTATGTGAATTGGGCTTGCTCCGGAGAAGAGCAGAATTTATTTCCGCTGGAAATCAACAGGGCCATTTATTACAAAACTTTAAAGGTAAGAGTGTTGGAGCTGGTCTGCTGTGAGTTACTCTGCTTGCATTTTTGTGACAGACAGTAATGACTCTGCCGGCCTTGAAAGGATTTATGTCTGAAAGTGGTTCATCAACACATGGCAAGGTCTTTGTTTTAAATATACAGTTGCCACTGCTTTGTGTGTACCAAAGCATGAAGATTGGGTTAAGTAATTACATGCTATATCTTTATAGATACTGATGAGTTAAGCGTGTGGCAGCCACTTCCCTCCTCCTAAGATACAAATGCACCAGCAACTGTCCGACTGGCAGATTTATCCAAGCGTAGGAGACCCATCGCTGGCTGCGGGGCTTCTGTGTTAACTGAAAACACATTCTTGGTCTTCATTGTCAGTAACTGTGGATTAGCTTTTCATTTCCCTAGATTTTACTCAGAATGGAAGTTCAACAGAACGGGTTTCTTCTTTTTGCCAAGTTTTGGTTTGAGGACATTAATCGGTGAGATGAAAAGAAGAGGAAAGTCATATTCTAGAGTTTGTGGTGAGGTTGGAGGTCACTGGGTGCGTGCAGGGAAGTTAGCATGAGGCAGCATTGATTGCTGCTGCATTCCTGCAACAAGCAAGTCCCTGGTTCTGTCCCTGTCCTCGTGTCCTCTGAGAAGGTGACTCTGCACTGATCCTGCATGGGAATGTTCTCTAAAGAATAGATACGTTTACTAAAATTGCTGTGTTCCAAGTTTCTGTTTATTCACTTCCATTTAAGAATGTCCTAGATTGGGGGACAGTCCATGGAGACACACGATGAGCAAGCCTTGAAGACAGTGGTCAGCCTTGCTGCATGGTGAATTTTACCCGTATGGTAGCACTGGGACTTCTGGAAATTTAGTTAACAGAGAGCAGTTTGATTTTCCTTTGCTGTATTTTTCCTGTCATCGTTAGCCAGTTGGACTGCCTTTTATTTCATATACGCCCAAGTTCTTGCTTCTAGATCCTCCGGGAAATTTTTTTTTTTTTTTTTTTTTTTTTTTTTTTTTTTTGGTGGTATCTTCTCATGTAAAACATCTACTCCCTTCTCATTTTCTTTCTTCTGGATTGTAATAGCACGATCTCCTAGTAGGTATGACTGTGCAGTGCTGTTATACTGCAGTTTGAAATTGGATTCAGAACCTGATTCAAGAATTCATTCATTGTTTCTCAAACTGATTTAAAGGGAGAAGTGCCTCTGGTTAAATTGGTGAGGCAGAATCCTGATGGAGGTGAAATAGCAGTGAGGGGCTAAGTGGGAGAGGGGATCAAGGGAGTGGAAATGAGGGTCCAAGGGAGGAGAGTAAGCCCAGGGCGATACTCAGATGCTTTGCATTTCCTTCATCAGACTTCCAGTTAAAACACGTTCATCTCTGGTAGCAGCTCTGAGAAACACTGAGAATGGGGAGGGAATAGGGTTTGGGAGAGTGAGCTCTGAAGCCAGACTGCCAGATTAAATCTGGGCTTGCTTTTTGACCCAAGGCAAGTCACTGGGACTTTACTAGCTGTGTAACCATAGGCAAGTCACCTTTCTGTGCCTTCGTTCCCTTATTTGTAACATACAGATAATTACAGTTTTGACCTCATAGGGTTATTGCGATGGTTGCATAGGTTAGTAGAGGTAGAGCGCTAGTTTGTAATAAGGCTAAATGCTAGCTGTTATTTTTGGTGAGGTGGTACAGTCCTGTGGTTCAGAGTGGGGACTCTGGAGCAGATTGCCTTGTGAGCGAATTCTGGCTTCTGGATGTGTGACTAGGAGAAGTTACTTAACCTCTCTTAGTTTTCTCATCTGTAAAAAATGGAGGTAATAGTGCAGTTAATACAGTTGTTGTGAAGGTTCAACAAGCCACTAGTTGTAAGGTTCTGTGAACAGTTTCTAGCCTAACCTGAGTACTCCCAAGTGTTAACCAGTTGTACCATTGCTATTCTTTTTACCTGTCTTTGTCTGAAATAACATAGTTCTGTCGTTGCAGATGTCCCCCAGTCCTGACCTTTGATGTTTGCTCACGTACACACAAGACCTTTCAGATTCCTTGCTAGTGATTATCTCACTATAATCTTCTAGTTTAAGCTTTCTGTGGGTTAGGTTTTGTAAATAAATTACACGTGATGTTCCTTTGGGCTCTGTACAGCCTTCTCAACTATCACCCAGATAATTAGGAAATCTCCACACTAGCCTTGTTAAAAACTATTTTAAATTCCCAAAAGTTTGATGTTAGCCTGTCCTCTGTTCATTCATCTCTTCATTAGTTTGATAAATATTTATTGAGAGTCTGCTGTGAACCAAGTACTTCTGTTATAGTGAGTATAACAGACAAGGTCTGTGGTCTCGTGGAACTTCAATTTATGGATAATATACAATGAGTAAAGTTATAATTTTACAAAATTATATGATTTTATATCTGTCCCCTGGGAAGACAAGACATATAAACCCCGTCCTTCCTACTCTGCTAGCATGGGAAGGAGCCAGTCACAGAAAGGTCTCTGCAGGAAGGGCAGTCCAGGAAGAGGGGCCCGGTGGAAGCAAAAGCCTTGAAGTAGGAATTAGTTAATTATTTTTTATTTTTTATTTTTTTAAGGAATGAAAAAGCCGGTGTGTCTGGAGCAAGGAGAGGAATGGTAGATGAGGCTGGTGAGGTGGCTAGGAATCAGATCAGGTGGGGCCTCGTGGCCCACAGGGAGAAAAGATGAATTTCAGTCTTGAGTTCACCTGTTTGAGAGCTGAGGGTCTGACCCGTGACTTGGAAGAGTTCATGCTGGCGAATAGATTGTAGGTGGCTGAGCATTGACGTGCCTTGTGTATTCTTGTAATTCTAGAGTAGTTCTCTTATTTCGACCTAGTGTCAGGAATATTTATTGGAGCCCTTGCCTCTTCCTAATTGGTCTGGTAAAATTTCAAGTTTATATTTACTGATATTTAGATAAGAGAGTACGCTTGGTTCTGTAAGCCTGTCAGAACTCACTGGGAAAGTTGAAAGATCTTGAAGTCGTCTTGTTGTTGTTTTGTTGAACATCACAATACAATACATAAAAAAGAGGTGGTTTGGTTTTAAACTTTATTTTTTAAGATGTGTGTTTATATTTCCTGTGTTTAAGGACATAATTTTTCTTTTCTGAAATTTGGCTTACAAAATCTCAAATGTGCTAAGCAGTGCAGAAGAAAAAACAATGTAGTACCAAGCAAACAAGCACTGATTAAAATATATATATATTATTTTCCTCTTCATAAAGGTCTGTTAGTTGTGTCACTGTTTTACTATGAAGTGGGGAAGTGATTAGCTCTATAATACAGTGATCATCTCAGCTGCTAGCAGTTTTGAAGGTGTTCAGTAGCTAATAAATCAGGTTGCTCTTAACCTAGCTGTTCCTTAGCTATTTCGAGATGTTATATTATGGGGCACCTGTGTGGCTCAGTTGGTGAGGTGTTTGCTTTGGCTCGGCTTGTGATCCTAGGGCCTGTGCATCGGGCTTCTGGCCCAGTGAGGAGTCTGCTTCTCCCTCTCCTTTTGCCCCTCCCCCAACTTGTTCTTGCTCTATCTCAAATAAATAAACTCTTAAGAAAAAAAAGAAATGTTACATTAAATTTAAGAACAGATCTTGTTGTTTTATATTGTGTTTTGCAACAACAAAGGAGTACCCTCCTAAGTAAAGAGTTTGTGCTGATACTTATCTTCAGGCAGTTGCTAGTACAGTCAGTACTCTGCAGAAGATTGCAGTGGAATGAAGAGGAAACTTTAAGCTCTGAGTCTGGGAGGTATGTTCAGAATGTCCAGTGGGTGTCTTTGTGTTAACGCAAAATGCTGTTTGGGTTAGGGACATATTGGGAATACATATTTCCTCTCTCCTTCCTGTGTTTCTCTTTTACTTTGGTTTTATTGAAGACATCACTTATTTCTGTGAATGCCAATCATTTCAAATGTTACAGGATACCACCATTCCATAAATATGTGACTTATAACAGAAAGAGAAGCAGAGTATACATTTGGAACTAGAAATAGTTTATTTAAATAATTAGCTCATCAGATTGCCAAAAGATATCTGCAATAGCTATTTCAACTTATTAAAAGTTATATATTAGATTTAGTTTTTTGGTTTAGGTGTAACTGATTCAAGAAGGGAAATAAGAGTACCCTGGTTTAAAGATAAGAAAATGGCACATTTTAGTCATCTGTGGCCGGGGGGAGAGCAAAGAAAACAATAGCTTGTTCTTTTATTTTAAAGAATTTAGACTATCTTAAAATTCGGACTACATAAACCGAGTTCTGTAGAGAATGAAACAAAATAAAGTCTACTTTCAAGGGCTTTATTTAGACGAGAAGTTACATTAAAATGAGGAATTACACTGTTTCTAAACTGGCATCTTAGGTGGAATTCACCTGCATCCAAAACTGAGGGCTTCCTCTTCCATAATCCTAGTGCAGTGATCGAAATCAAGGCGCTAACACCGGCACGGTATTTCATTAGCTCATCTATACACCTTACTCACATTTTGTCAGTTGTCCAGCCGTGTCCTTAGAGGAAGAGAAAGTTCAGTTGCATTCAGTTGTAATGTCTTATCAGTCTCTTTAGTGTGGACAGTCCGTCAGCCTTTCTCTTGTATGGCCTTTCAGTTTTGAGAGAATTGGTCAGTTACTTTGTAGAATGCCCAGCAGTTTGGGTTGTTCATATGTTTCATCATGGTTAAGTTACCGTCATGCATTTAGGGTGGAGAACTCCAGAGGTGATGATAATCTTTCCTGTGCATTGTATCAGGAGGCACAGGGTGTTGATTTATCTCATTCTAAGGATACTGTTTTTACCTTTGTAATTCATGTTTTATGGGGAGATGTTTTGAGACCATGCTAATACTCTGTTACACCCAAAACTTATTCCTACTAGTTGTAGCATCTGTTGAGGAATCAGTTATTACTGCTATGATTACCAAGGGGTGGTTTTCTAATTCCATAATTTGTTTTTCTTTGGTTAGTTGGGATCTACTTTAAGAAAGAGCTTTTTCCTTTTTATTTATTTACTTCTTCATTCATTACATTTATATCAGAATGGACTGATGGATTCTTATTTTATTCGCTGGGTTTTATGTGCAATTTTACTTGTGTTGTTACCCTTGGGACGTTTTGAACAGATGAGTCATTGTGAGAGAAGCCAATGAGCCATGTCCTTAAATTCTGTTTAGGAATGTGATCGTCCCACTCGGTTATCTTCTTCTTTAGGATCTTCTGGGTGCAGTCAGCGTGGTGGCGGTCCATGTCCTCACCACTCCTGGCTCTTTCAGAGTTAATGTTTTAGGAGCATGGTCCCTGTGTGGTATTTATAGGCACTTCCTTCTGCATTTAAAAGTTGTCCGGTACAGAGGGCAGGGCAGTGGGTTCTCCTTGGGCCCGAGCAGGCTGGCGGCAGTGCCCGAGCGCAGAGTGCGGGACCTGCCTCTTCGCCCGGCGTTCCCGTGGTGTCAGTAGCGGTGCGTGTACAAATGTGCCGTGACTTCCAGGTCCCGCACGCTGCACTCGCTCTTGGCATCCGAAACCGACGCGGGTAGTTAGCTTTCAACACTTCTCCTTCCGAGCCGCCGGCTTCTCTTACCTTATGCTTTGCGTTTCTCCTGAGCCTAGATTTCGGGGGCAAAATGGTTGCGTGTCTTATTTTTCCTTCTGCGTGGGCAGTCGTGAGGCTTCGAACAGTGAGGTTCGGTGAGGTGGGGCCCTTCGGAGTTGACAGCGGAGCCGCAGGTCCGCCCGCGCGGTCCCGGGGAGAGGAGGCGGGCCGGGAAGTGAGGTCCTCCCTCCAGCAGAGGGTCCCTGCCCGGGGCCGCCCAGCCCCGCGGCCGCCAAGGGTTAAAGAGCCCTTCCTGCCGGGCTGGCCTGGCTAGCCGCCCCAGCTGGCAGCGCCGCCCCCGCCCCGCCCCGCCCCGCCAACAACCGCCGCTCTGATTGGCCCGGCGCCTGTCTCTTCTGTCCCCGCAGCCAATCGCGCCGGGCGAGGAGCTCCTGGTCTGGTACAATGGGGAAGACAACCCCGAGATAGCAGCTGCGATTGAGGAAGAGCGAGCCAGCGCCCGGAGCAAGCGGAGCTCCCCGAAAAGCAGGAAAGGTAGGCGCCCGCGCCGCCCCGGCTCCCCCGCCGCCGCCTCCGCCGGGCCGGATGCGGGCCCGGGCGGCGCCCGCGACTCTCGGTGACCTTCCCCGGCCCGGCCCGGGCCCGGCCCCGGCCCGCGATCCCGGTCCCCGGGCCCCCCTCCCCCCGGGCGGCTGCTGAATCACGGCCGGACGCCGCGCTCGGGCTCTTGGCTAACTTGGGGCCGCGGAGCCGGGCGCGCGAAAGTGAGCGGACCGAGCGCCGGGAGGCCCGGCCGAGGGCGACTTGTCACTTGGCTCGGAACCTCGGAACAGCGCGCTCCGGGTGGGAGCGGCGGCCGGTCTCTCCGGAGCCCTGCGCGCCCGGTATGTTCTCGGCTTTTTGTGCTGTTCGCCCGCGAGCGCTTCCGGAGAGGGTTGCGAGGGTGACAGTTCCAGGTCCGCAGATTCGGCGGCCTCGGGGCCGGCCGGGAGCGCGCGGGCAGGGCCGGACGCCCCGCGCTGCCCCGGGCCGCCGCCCCGGGCCGCGCCGGGCCCTGCCCCTCCTCTGGGCGCGGGGCCGGGCCGGGACAGGCCCCGCCACTCCTCCGACTCCGCTCCTCGCCGGGCCGGGCCGCGCTGCGCGGGATTGCAACACTCGGGGTGGGCGAAGGTCTGAGGGCGCCGGACCTTCTCGAAATTAGGCCAGGAACAAAATGGAAGTTGAAGAGTGCTGTTGGGTCACTCTTGACTCCACTCCTGCAGCTTTATTTTGTTTTACGGTGGTTTGGAACAAAAGATAAAGCGTAGTCACACTTAAAAAGGGGAGGGGATAATTTCTGGGTAGGAAAATAGTTTGGTTGGATGTATCCTATTTCCAGCTGGCATTCGGACACGTTGGGATTTTTTTTTTTTTTAATAAAGAATTTTAATGTGAATTCGTGAGTCTTTCATCGAGCCCAGTTTGAATATATGCCAAGGCACGGTATGGTAGTTTCTTAGTCGTGTAAATCCTTTTTTGTTCGTTTGGGGGTTTTTTGCCTGCCTTAGGTCTTACGTAAATTTTTGTAGTCATCACAACTTAGGGGTCCGTCCTTTACTCAGAACATTGCCACGTGAGTTGGGAAATCACTGTAAATAAAATCGTAAGGTAAAGTTGATTTTGGAAGAATGCAAAGAGAATGTTTTAGGCAAGAAGTCAATTGTGGTTTTTTTCCATTACATATTCTTTGTATTTCACAGTGTAATGCGAATACAACTAACTTATTCAAGAGAAAGTTAGTGGGGTCTTTTCCTAAATACATGTGTTCTGTTTATCAAATGTTACTTCACTGTTGTTTTAGGCCATTAAATGCTTTGCTCCTGCATCAGATGATCTGGGTCTAGAAAATTCCCAAGTGTTTCTTCTACTGCTGTAATTATTAAGATTTTTGTTGTTTTTAGGCTTAGGACATAATTGTTGGCAAAGCGTTTACATATTTCAGTTTGTTCCTTTATTTAGTGTTCATTTGTAAGTAATGCCACCAGCCTCTCCAGGTAAGTTGTGATTTGTTTACAGGGGTGGGAGTTGTGGTAGGGAGAGGGGGAGATCTTTACTCTGATACTAAGTATAATTAATGATATGTTTAAATATATTCATAGCTTCCTAGCAGCTTCTCTCAGGCTTTTCTCTGTTCAGCATATTTTGGTGTGTACGTTTAGAACATTTCATCACTTTGCTTTCTTTTATTGATCTCTAGATGTTTTTTCCTGCTCATTTCATTGGATGTGGAGGAAAAAAATGAAAATAAACTTTAGCATGTATTAGTGATACATGAATCTACACGTTTACATTTTTATAAACCTGCCTGGATTGCTGGGTATTTACATTGAATTAAGTAGTTCATGTTATCCTGTTATTATTTTTGTATTTACTCTGGGAAGCATATAATCCACTGAGTCTTAGCTTTTAATGAAACCATTTGGATGAAGCTCTCTCTGGGAACTTAATAGTCTGTTTTGAACAGCTTACTGGTAAAGAGTCCAGAAGTTGAGCGAGTTTAAATAATGAGTCAAACCTTCTTTGCTTTCAAATTAAATACTTGGTGAAAGCTAATTTATAGTTTGCAAAGACCTGAAACGGAGAACTTTTTATTATAACTTGGTTCTGTTTAGGTCTTATGTGTGACCTCAGACACTTAAATATTTTTTCGGGTGGTGATATCAGAGAGTAAATCAACACAAATTTCATTCAGTAGCATGTTAGCTTAGGAATTCTGGAAGCCAGATGTTGAAGACATGCAGCTGACAGGTAGACTGACAGTGGACCCAACTTCATTTTGGTTATGAGGCAGGCAGAGAGAAACAAAGGGCCGAATTCTTCAGAGTTCTGGGCCGAGGCTCCTTTGCAGGACAGCTGCTCTGCCTACAGCTGTGCCTTGCATGTGGCGCCTTTCAGAATTCATCCCATCATGAGATCATGAGGCGTGTTCTGGGCAGTCAGAAGCCCCACTTCCTTTACAAAGTGTCCTCTTCTCTCTCTCTCTCTCTTATTCTTTCATTCATTCTGTTCCTGTTTAAGTCCCTGCCGCGTGCTAGGCACTCTGCAAGGTTGAACAGTGCGGTGGTGAGCAGAAAAAAGCAGTGACTCTTGTCGTGTCCCCTGGAGTCTAGTTGGGGAGACTGACATTAAATCAGGAAGTTCCTGGTCTGCACCTTGATGGTTGGCATGGAATAGGCCTTCAGTGTATGTTGGCTGATTTGCAAACAAAACCCCACACAAACCTTGTAACGAAGGAAGAGAACACAGTGCTGGGAGAACATAGTTCATATTGTCTCTGACCAGGGAGCATGCAGTTTTGCCATGGGCCAAAGATGTGCATACTTGAGGTGTTTCAGACGAGAATTTTGAATTCTCAGTTTTGTGATTCATTCTAACTTTTTACATGTCTGAGTAGCCCGTCATGAGATGGAGCATAAGAATTTCTTGGAGGGGACGGCAGGTAGAGAAGAAGGGAGGGTTTCTTAGTGTCTGATGCTTCGGTTACTTTAATCTGCACCACAGTAAGATTGTGATTGGAGAAGTAACATAGAAAGGCCATAGTTAGAAGAATTTACCATCTTCTTGATTTGTGTCCTGTTTGTTACTGTGAGAAAATAAGAGATCGAACTTGCTTGTACAATAATGATTATTGGCAAAAGTTCTTTTAAAACACAGACTATAACAGCAAATTTGATGTTTCCCTGCTGTCTCCTGGCCACAGAAGAGCCTTAACCTGAAGTTCTTTCATTCTCAAAAAACAGTAGTGGCTCATATACATGGACTTAGCGGAAGGAATGTAGAACATGGGATTCCTGGGTAGAAACCAGGTGTGTGACTGGGGAAGTCACATCACCTTTCTGGGGGACAGTTTCCATAACTTTAAAAACCGGTGTTTTAACATGGGAGGGTCTCTGTACTGCCTGGCCTCATGGGGTTGCTGTCAAGAGCAAACGAGATAATAAAAGAGAGTAGTTAGCGCAGTGTGCGGGTCCACGGTGACCCGGTGACAGTAAGGGCCACCGAAGGAGTGTGGCTGATGGTTTGTCTCTTGCAGAGGAACTCTGAGTTTGTGACTCACTTAATCAGTCGGTATTTACGGAGGATTTCTGTAGGCCCAGGCAATCAGTGGGCCTCGCCACTGCTCTTCCATGGCAGAGTCTCGCCCTTTGCCAGTTCACCCTGATTTTTGACCTACTTTTAACCTATTGACTTTTCTGTTCGCAGCAAACTAGAGAGCAGAATTATTTATAGCAGCAGACAGTTTTTAGAGCTGATAGCTGGCCAGTAAGGAAGGCGGTTTATGACAAAACTGGCAGTGAATTGTGAAGAGTATGTCACTCCTTCAGCTTCCTTGAGAGGTTTAAATAATCCTTTATTAGAAACTGTAAGTAGGGACGCCTGGGTGGCTCAGTTGGTTCAGCGGCTGCCTTTGGCTCAGGTCATGATCCCAGCGTCCTAGGATCGAGGCCCGCATTGGGCTCCTTGCTCAGCAGGGAGCCTGCTTCTCTCTCTGACTCTGTCTGCCTCTCTGTCTGCCTGTGCTCGCTCGCTCTCTCTTTCTCACTGACAAATAAATAAATAAAATCCTAAAAAAAAAAAAAAAAAAAAGAAAGAAACTGTAAGTAGTCCCTGAGAATGCCACCTAGATTCTGGTATCTGTCTAGGTGACTTGTAGTCATCACAGATGTTAAATTACAGTCAGCTTAAAGAGGAAATCTTTCATGTGTCTCTGTAATCAGAGTCATTCAAGTAAAAAATCGTGGTGCCGTGAAGAACACCTTCGTTTTCGGTAGTTGCAAGTGTTTGGGATGTTTTCTCCTCCAAGGGTGACAGAGCGTATACACACTTGCGGTCAAGTGAGGGAGGTAAGAAAGAAATCCTTGTGCAAAATGATTTGGTCTGAGGCAGTTTGAGGGAAGGAAGTAAGCACTGACCTGCCTGTGTGGGCGACAAGGACCCCTGATGCTCAGAGAAGGGAGGTCGGCTGGGTGCGCTGAAGGTGGAGAGTAGCTGGGAGGACGTGCACAGGAGCCTTATGGGACTGTCAGAGCAAAGTGGCGAATGTCTGGAAGGTCTCCCTCTGCCTCACGTGACAGGCATTTGCTGTGTCTGTGTCGGACAGTGTGGTAGAGGCTGAAGTTACCGCAGAGAACTGGGACGACCAAGGTCCCTGCTCTCACGTAAGGTACCGTTCTGGAGAGCGGGGGATGGCCAGCCAGCCGAGGAATGGTGGGACTGTTGGAACGTTAGGTGTGTGAGCTCGGGGGGCCGGGGTGAGACACGGCGTGACCCTGAATGTGTACCCAGGGATGGCCTTTCAGAGGCTGTGACATAAACGACACAGGGGTGAGCCCCATCCAGTTCAGCTCCAGGAAGAGGGACCGATTTGGATGTTTGGTCAGCGGTTTGGGGAATTTATTGCCTCAGTCGGGGTGGGGGTGTGGAGGGGTCACCCAGAAACCCACACAAGTGTGTTTGCATCTTTTTTTTTTTTTTTTAAGATTTTATTTATTTAT